GTTAATTAGAACCTTATACTAAGACCAAATTGAATATCAAACTAGCTTATATATATATATATATATATATATATATCATTTAGAAGCTAATAAAGGTTGATTCAATAATGAAAGTTGCATCGATCTTGTAAGTTCTTGGAATCAATCAATTCATCAATAGCAGGAGCAGGGCTAGAGATTTCTGACTCTATATATAGGAAACAGATGAAAGTTTTGGATAAATTTCTAAACATGCATGCATGCAAATCTGTCTCCATGTTGAATTGAACCATAAATGCTTGTTGGGGAAAAAAAAAACAGATGATAGATGCTTCTCAGTGCATACATGTGATCTTATTCTTGTTCTTTTTTTGAATGACAGGTATAATCAAGCACTTGTTGAACATGCATCTAATCTCCAATATTTTTTCCAACTAAAAGCTTGCCGTTTGTTATATAAAACAAGTATATGTGAACAATTAAAATTTCCTGAAGCTTAATATATACAAATTAAGAGTTATTTTTGAGCTCGTGATTTACTAATCTAACCTCCCTAACTCAAGTCCGCCATCAGTCTTAGTGAAAAAAATATGCTATTCAATATGGTCCATAATTAAACTTTCAAAAGACATTTTAATTTTAAAAAAAAATGCTTCATTATTTTTTCATTTTATTCTATATATTAAACATTCTATAAGATTTATTGATTGTGTTCAAAAAGTTTACTTTTGTAATTTTTAATTTATCACATTTTTATTATTCCTCTTTTCTAATTGCAAAAACTTCTTTACGACTTATTATTTACATATTTTGCCCTTTATATATGGATGCCTTGAGATATTGACCATCACCTTCAACCTCGTTTTCGAACTTCCAACGATATGGCTCTTCATCTTCCCCAGGCTGCTTCTCTCCCTTTTGGCTCTCTCACTAAAATGCTTCCTCTGAATAAAACATCCTCTTCTGTTTCAGCCATATCCAAAAGCTTCAATGCTACTACTTCTCTTAAAATCCAATGCAAGGCCCCATCAGTTATTGTTTCTGATCAAAGCCAGCAAGTTTCTCGTCGATCTGGAGACTTCAAGCCTGATGTTTGGCACTACGACTATATTAAGTCATTGGACAATAATTATAAGGTTTTCTTTAACTTATTCCCAACTTAATTATAACTAAAGACAAAGATTATGGTTGGTAATTTAGTTTCATTTCTTCCTAAGATTATTTCAAATCAAGTGATCATTATATTAGTTATCAATGCAACATGCAGGAACATGCATATGAAGAAGAAAGCAGAATGCTTAGGGCTGAAGTTAGGGTATTTCTTTCAGACACAGTGAATCCTCTGCAACAACTTGAGCTTATTGACACCTTACAAAGGCTTGGATAGCTTATCATTTCAAGAGTGAAATAAACAAAATGCTGGAAAATATTTACAGCGTGGACAAGTTCAAGAACAAGCAGAATCTGCATGCCACAGCTCTTGAATTTCGACTCTCAAGGCAACATGGCTATGATATACCTACAGGTATAATATTTACATGTGAGGATCAATTGAGGAGATTAAGAAAGCTAAATAAATCACTTTAAAGTATTTTTTTTCCAAATTAATTTACTTGATTTATAAACTAATATAAATCTAGCAATACACATAATATCTCATATAGATTATGTAACATGTACCATAATTGAGTCATTTATTTAGCTTTATTAATCTTGTCAGATTAGTCAACTGGGTCTTATATTAAGAACTAAAGATAGTATAAAATTTCACTTTTGCACTTATATGAATGATAGTTCTTAAATTACTTGAACTATTTGCTGCTGCAGATGTGTTTGATAGCTTTATAAACGATGAGGGTGATTTTCAAACGAGTTTATCTCAGGATATTAAGGGAATGCTTTCATTATATGAAGCTTCATTTCTTTTAATGGAAGACGAAACTATTTTGGAAAAAGCTACAGATTTTACCTCAAAGTCTCTTAGAGATTTTATGAGCAGGAACCCTGGACATGAACTGACATCCCAAGTGAAACATGCTATGGAGGTTCCATTACATTGGAGGCTACCAAGATGGGAGGCTCGTTGGTTCATTAGTGAATATGAAAGAATGCCTAATATGAATTCCAACTTGCTTCAGCTTGCCAAATTGGATTATAACATGCTTCAAGCCATGTATCAGGAGGAAGTGAAGTCCAATATAAGGTACAATATACATGCTACTCCTTTCTATCATTATTATAAGCATTTGATTACAACTTTACATAAATTAATGAAGTTAATTAAAATTAGTTATTTCTTATAAAATATCAAAACTATCATCAATAAAATTGATTAGCTACAGGAGATTGGTTTTAGTTCACAAATTTTATAATTAGTTTGGGATGCTAGGTGAAAAAAAAAAATTTCAGACAAAACATATTATATATAAAACATGTTTGTAGTCCTCATAATAGAGATTTGAGGGAGTAGTAAAAATCTAGACCATTCGAATTGAAATCACTAAAACGAAATGGGTAATTTATGATATAAAAATCCCTCTTAAACAATGAAAATTCGCTACACAAACTGTTTTGCAATGAACTATTTTGTCTTTAGTTAAGGAGTTAATTTTTTTTTAACAATTGTTTTCGTGAAAGATTTACAATAGATTCATGAATGATTTATAATTTTTTTTTGCAGTTGATAAATTATTTTTGTACTAACATCGTTGTAATACCCTCTAACAAAAAGGGATTTTCTAGTGAAAAATTCCGCAAGAAAAATCTCAAAAGTATGAGAGAAAAAACTTGGACAATCTAGAAAGAAACGTTTCTCCCAAATTCTAACTATATGACTTTGGATACTATTTTTATTTGCTTGATAACATGGATACTCTTTTTCAAGCAACAATGTTAGCAGTTTCGTTTAGTAAAATAAGATAACTGATCAGTTAATATGGACAACGTAAATTTATACTGATGCTAAATTTTTTTGTTTCATTTGAAGATGGTGGGAGAGAACTGGTCTGGAAGAGAAGATCAATTTTTACAGGTGTAGGGTGGTGGACAACTATCTCTGGGGCTTAGGAATGAAGGAAGAACCACATGTTGAAAAGTTAAGAAGAGTTATTGGAAATCTTTGCGCCATAATAACCTTGACCGATGATATGTATGATGTTCATGGGACTTTGGACGAATTAGAGCTCTTCACAGAAGCTATTCTCAGGTTTGAATTTTAATTGCTTCATTCATCATCCCTTAAATGATGTTAAAGATTGTACTTATTTTTAAGAATCGATTAATCTTACTAATTATCAAATTCTAGGTGGGATGCAAATGACTTAGACAGTCTCCCAGATTACATGAAAGTGTCATTTTTTGCAATCTATAACCTTGTGGATGAACTTGCTTCTGACATTCAGATAGAAAAAGGGCTCAATGTCTATTCATACCTAAAAAAAGGGGTATGATATGTGTTAATTATTTGTTTTATTATACTTGTTTCTACGTACTCTCTTAAGTGTCTTGTTATTATCTATAATACGTATGATATTAATTATTACATTAATTTAACCTAATTAAATATTTCAGTGGCAAGATTTCTGTAAGGCATTTAGGGTTGAGGCCAGATGGTACCATGGTGGAAAAACGCCAAGCCTGAAACAATATTTGGAAAATGGATGGGTTTCAATTGGAGGGCCTCTTTTACATTTTCATGCTTATCTTTTGATGCCAAATAATCGTATCAACGACCAGGACCTGAACTTCATTTCCTTACACCAGCATTCAGATCTACTTCACGTATCAGGACTTAATTTCCGCCTTCTCAATGACCTCGGATCATTTAAGGTATCGATGAAACAAATAAGGCAAGGGACCTCTAATGCCGTACTCTTTGATGTCCCTTATAAATGTTCCAACCTCCAAAATATTGTTTTAATTTTTCTGCTAATTGTTAGATTCTACATAAAAATAGTTGGCATTTTCATATCTTATTGGCATAAAATGATGCACAACTTTAGAGTTTTTTAAGAAATCATAAAAACATTCAAAACTACACTATTTTACGTCCATAAGATATCAGTGCCACTTATTTCATGTAGAACCTAAAGATCAATAGAAAATTAAGAAAACAATATTTAGAAAGTTGGGACCTTACAAGGCGCGTTAGAAGATAGAGAATCAGAGACTTCTTGCCCATATATAGTGGATTCCACCTAACGGGATATAAGAATTGTTTTTGCTGTTGTTTTACCTATAAACACACAAACAAATTCTTTAATATGTATATATATGTGTCTAACTTAGCTCGAAATTGATGCTTAGCGTGAGCTAGTGACAGGGGATGTGCCCTCGTCAATTCAGTGCCACATGAATGATAGTGGAGTTTCGGAAGAAGAAGCCATCAAACACATAAAGGGTCTGATATATAAAACATGGCAGAAGATGAATCAACAAGTTGCCACATCTTCATTCCCTCGCGATTTCAACGTCACAGCTTGGGAACTTTCAAGGACGGCAACTTTCTTTTACTATTATGGAGACGATACCTACACTGTTCAGGATTCTGAGTTCAAGGATCGTGTTCGTTTATTGCTTTTTGAGCCCTTTCCCATCACTTTTACGTAGGTGTGATAATATTTAATAAGAGTCTTTGAAGCTAAACCATGAAACAATAACTTGTGTATGATCTCGTGTATGTAATGAGATCTAGCTCCTGTGTTTTAATTTATTGCTGGCTTGTTATTTTTAACATTGTTCGAGCAGCATAGAGACAGCAAGCTGATCCTTTGCTGCCAAGACTGATGAGAGAGGGAACCGATTTCAGTACTTATCGCTAACTATCATGAGATTTATATTATTCAGGTACCATTTTAATGGTCTAAATGTAAAATTATTAACTGATAATTTTTAAATTAAATTTTTTTAAAAAATATTAAAAAGTAAAAGAATATTTTTATTTTAAATTCTGTATCAGGTAAATTTCTTTTTTTTTAAAAAATTAAATTTTTGCCTCCATATCAAATGTGGACTATTCAAATTAATGACAAGGGCGTGGGTCACACTGTCGAATCAAAGTCGCATTCACGCCTTGGTTGCTTCACGCACCAAAGGATATAAATTTTAGAAATACAATGGATAAATGTTACTCCTGTACTTAATATAGGAACTAATTGAGGAGTTAATGTTGGTCTTATATATAAAACCTATTTTATATCTTTATCAATTTTTTTTAAAATTAACCCTATTAATATTCCTCCAATAATAATCAATTAAGAAAGGGAGGGAAGGAATTAAGAAAAATACTTAAAGTGTTTTAGAAAAAACATATCACATTAATCAATTTAACTAACATCCTTAATCTACTTAAATTAGTTAATAAGGTATTACATTAAGGAGAGAAGGAGTATTACCCTTATAATTGATAAATATTTAATGAAAGATAGAAAATAGAAAGGAAAAAAAAAACAATCAAGCATCATATATAAATATATATATATTTATAGCATCCTTCACACACTGAAAAAATTAAAAATATACTTAATATGGGATTGATCTCAATCTGATTAAATATGAAACATATTCTAGGAATTGGACTCAAAAATTAATGAACGAACAGATTCTGAAATTCATCAGAATGCTGGAGAGTGCAGGCATCATCTTCATTAGAGTAATAGAAAGTTGAAGCCCTTGAAAAACCCAAAGCAGTAAGGCTGAAATGGCAAGGGAAGGAAGATATAGCAACTTGTTGATTAATCTTCTGCCATGTTTTATATATCAAACACTTAATGTGTTTGATGGATTCTTCTTCTGAAACTCCAGCTTCATTCACGTACCATTGAATTGCGGATGGCACCTCCCCAATCTTCGCTTCACGCTAAACATCAGTTCCATCATATCCAAGTTAGACCAAAAAGAAATGCGCACTTATTTAAAAAAAAAAAAAGAGAGAAGGAAAATTTCCTTCGATAGTAAGTTGTTTTTTAGTGCTAATTAATAATCAATAAGAAAAAAAAATAAAGAATAATATTAAAAATTTTAAATAAATTATTAGTGTCTCTTATAAATAGGAACATACTGATTATCCCTAGAAAGATTCTTTTACACAAAGGTATCGGACGTACGGGATGAAATGTATGCCAAAAAGATAGATTAATCTTCCTCCCCTCCCATAAGATTTACAAAGTACTACCTTAAATCTTTAATATAAGACCTAGTTAACTAATTTAGAAAGATTAATTAAGAAAGTTATTAAATTACTTTAAATTATTTATACTTATTTTTTTCTCCAAACTCATTTGTTTCACTTATAAATTGTTATATTATCTAATGATACACATAAGTATTTTAGAGAAATCATAGCATATGCTATAATTAAGTTATTTAATAAATTTCTTATTTTTCATAAATTAGTCAATTGGGTCTTATATTAATAACTAGAGATAGTATTTGTTACCACTCATATCAATCTAAATTAGTAATTTGGTATATAGTGAACTAAAGATCTTTTGCATAAATGGAGGTACCTTAGATGATCCAAGGTCATTAAGAAGACGGGAATTAAGTCCTGAGAAGTAAATTAGATTGGGTATCCAAGCCCTGCTTCTTTATTGGATAATTGGCATAAAAATATAAGCATGAAGATGAAGAGGTCCAGTTATTGTAGTCCATCCATTTGCCAAATATTCTTCCAGCCTAGGCGTCTTCCCTCCATGGTACCATCTTGCCTCAATCATAAATGCCTTACAGATATTTTGCCACTGAAAATTTTAATTTAAATTAATGTATAACCATCAACAATATTAAGGTCCACAAAAATATTTGAATTTTCAAAATAAACCCGACAAGGTCATCCCAATTTCCAAAATTCCAAATCAATACTCATGACCAAAATCAGTTTTTGAAATGTTGATGATTTTATATTGTTGTCCTTTTTTTTTTAAAAAAAAAAAAAGCAAGCCACCATCGCTGAAGACCCCGCCGCTGGCTTGCCATCAAAGCTATAACTCCAAGGGCTTTTCAGCGACAGGGCAAGCCACCAGTGCTGGAACTTCAATGGTGGGCCGGCGGTGATTTGGATTAGTTTTTGATAAGGGACAATATTGTAAAATCATCAATATTTTAAATTTTCATTTTGGTTGTGAGTATTAATTTTGAATTTTAATATTCGGGATCACCTTTTCTAGTTTTGAGAATTCAGAAGGTATTTTGCTGTACTTGTTCTTAATAATAAAGTATAATGTAATAAGGGCATAAGGCTGTAATTATAGTTGTAACTAACTAACACCACAGATCATACGTACCCTTTTCTTTAGATATGAATACACGTTGTGCCCTTTTTCTTTCAAAATATCAGAGGCCACTTCATCCACAAAATCATAAATTGCGAAAAATACCACTTTCATATAATCTGGGAGACTGTCCAAGTCATCTGCATCCCACCTAAAAGAATCATTATCAATATTGTAAGGCAGAGAAACATTTAAGAGCTCAAATCACTGCAAATCGAAATAATCAAGAGATCTTTGAAATTATAGAAACAATCATTTTTAAAATCAACTTTATTGTCAAGTTTTAGGAGATTTATCTTCACAAAATTTACTACAGAGTACTTTTTACTCAAACATGCTATTTTCTTTTCTTTTGTTGTTCACAAGAGTGTCAATTAGCCCTCTAACTTGAAGGCGTGCTTTATTTTATCCCTACAATTCTATTTAGTTTCATGCTAATACTTTAATATTTAATATGTAGTAACAATAATTTCTGTCACTTACAATCCAAATTTATCTTATTAAAATAGTTATGCATAATTTAATCTAATATTATAATTAAATATTTTTAATGTTTATAATTACGACTTGAAGATAAATAATTCTAAAGTGTGAGTACTGAATATTGAAATTCTCTTAATATTTTCAAAATATCATAATAAATATTTCATGTAAGGTTTTTTTAAAGATTTTTTTCTAATTTTATTCATTTCAAGGTTGAAAAAAAATTTATTTGTTTCAATATTTTAATGTCGATCAAGAGGCCTTTTTTTTAAATACATTTTTCAAATAAGATCTATTTATTTTTTTTATGTTCTAATTTTAATATATAGCTTTTGAATATGTAAATGTATTTTTTGTTAAATTATTTGATGATGTTAAGAATTAGAAAAGTTGCAAATATATGAAAAGTTAAAGGATTTACATGAGAGTTAATAAAAATTGAAGACCTAAAATAAAATATACCTTAAAGTTGATGAATTAATCAAAGATACACTTTCGTTTTTAATTGAGAAAAAGGGAACATATAGACAAACCTGAAAACAGCTTCAGTAAAGAGCACTAGTTCTTCCAAAGTACCATAAACATCATACATGTCATATATTAGGGCTATTATGGCAAAAGGATTTGCCAGCACTATTCTTAGCTTGTTTTTCCAAAATCTGGTCCATGTTGAATTCCAAGGGCACCCATGTAGTTGTCAACCGCCCTACACCTGAAAAAGTTGACCTTCTTTTCCAAGCCAGTTCCTTCCCACCATCTTCGGGTAATCAAGCACAAAATAAATTTAGCATTAGAGATAAAACTTTCCGCTGTGTCCTATTTATAAACAGAGAAAATTTTTTTTTAATCTTATTTATAGGGCAAAGAGAGAAGAAATTTTATGTCACACCTTATATTGGACTTCACTTCTTCCTGATACATGGCTTGAATCATGTTATAATCCAACTTGGCAAGCTGAAGCAAGGTGGAATTCATATTAGGCATTCTTTCATATTCACCAATGAACCAACGAGCCTCCCATCTTGTTGGCCTCCAAAGCTTGTTTCACTTGGGATGCCAGTTCATATTCTGGATTCTTGCTCACAAAACCTTTCAGGGATTTTGACGTAAAATCTGCAGCTCTTTCCAGAATAGTTTCATTTTCCATTAAAAGAAATGAGGCTTCATATAATGAAAGCATTCCCTTGATCTCCTGGCATAAACTCGCTTGAAAATCACCGTCATCGTTTATAAAGCTATCAGACACATCTGCAGAGCAGCAAATAGATCAAGTAATTTAAGAACGATCATTCATATAAGTGCTAAAACTGAAACTTTCGAATTAATAAAGGAAAATCCTATAACTTTGCTTAGTTAGCACCGTTAGCCTTATAACTTTGCTAATAGAGCAAAGTCAAAGGATCTAATTAAGAGAGAAAACAATATAAGTATCAAATTAAAAATTAAGAGAAAAAATATATATACCTGCAAAATGGTTTTCCCAATTAATAATATGAAGTTCATTACGTATATCTGTGTATACCTGTGGATATATCATAGCCATGTTGTCTTAAGAGTCGAAACTCGAGAGCTGTGGCATACAAATTCTGCTTGTTCTTGAACTTGTCCACGTCATAGATATTTTCCAGCATTTTGTTTATTTCACTCTTAAAATGATAAGCTAGTCCAAGCCTTTGTAAGGTATCAATAAACTCAAGCTGATCCAGAGGATTCACTGTTTCTAAGAGCAATAACCTTACTTGTGCTCCTAGTTTTCTGTTTTCTTGTTCGCATGCTTGTTCCTGCATTTCGAAAATAAAAGTAAAGTTGATAACCATAATCTTGTCTTCAGTTGTAATTTATTTACTATCTGTATAAAACTACACTGTGTCTTCTTTAATTTATCCATTATGTGTACCACCTTCGGTTCTTAGTATAAAAATCAGAAAAAGATTTATTTTTATCTTAAATATAATACCTGAATTCATTTCTGTCTTGTAAATTTATAACTTTCTCCTCAAAATATAGATTTTTATTGATTGCATATGTTAAAAAGGTTTCACTAAGAGATAGTTTCAATATGTATTATTAACAAGAGTATCTTAGAAAAACTAATACTTATTTATTACGAATAACTAATTAAACTATTTTTAATATTATCAAGTTAGTTATTTAGTATTACTTTTGCCTGTTTGTGTTTAATTATCGGATGGTTGGTACTACAGGGAAAATTTTGTCTAGTGATCATGCGATTATATATAGAAAAAATTGTAATGAGGTTCTAAGCAAGGAATATAATTACTAAAAAGTCCCAAATAACAAATGAATTGCTTGTACTGACAAGTCACATAGCAGTAACTAAGAACTACTCACCCGTTATTCGAACTTTTTAGTAATTATATTTTTTACTTGAAACATTATTGCAATTCTCCCTTAATCTAAGAATGAAATTAATCATACCTTGTATTTACTATCCAGTGATTGAATATAATCATAATGCCAAAAATCAGGTTTGAAATTTCCAGATCGACGAGAAACTTGCTGATTTTGATAAGAAACATTAACTGATGAGGCTTTGCATTGGATCGCAAGAGAAGGGGCATTGAAGCTTTTGGATATCGTTGCAACAATAGAGGAATCTCTATTCAGAGGAAGCGTTTTAGTGAGAGAAGCTACTTGGGGAATCCGAAGAGCCATATTACGTAGCTAAGCGGCAACTACTAGTGCAGGACTGGCTTAGAGAAAGAGGAGGGAGGTAGCATTATTTGGATAGCTTGCATAATACTCCCTCCATCCCTTATATAAGCACGTTTTAATTAGAAGAAATTAATGGTCACTTGGTAGATTATTGACAAACTCAATTATTTTTATATATTTTGATATCTTTTATATGAGTTTTGTCAACTTAATTGGTCCCTTTTTGCCTTAATTCATTTAATTAATTTTATTTTGAATTATTATTTTATAGGGGTAAAATTGTCATATTTTGGTTTAATTATGACTAATTGATTTTTGAGGACAATTAATGCTACCTTACCCTTGAATTTTGCTTGCAGGTTCTTGGAAGATTCAAAAATATATAAAGAAAAAAAATAAATAAATAAAAAGAAAAAAAAGAAAAATCAATTAAAAAAATATAATAATAAAAGGGGAGCAAAACGCAACGTTTTGCCCCCCAACCTAATATCTAATAATTGAATCACCTTCATCCGAGAAGCAGAGACGAAGGGCGACGCTGAAGCGAGCTGGAGGCGCGGCTAAGACGAAAAAAACAGAGGAGACGCACGCAACACACGAAGCAGAACAGAGCTGGACGGCGGAGAAGAGAGGATTCACGCTGAATTCTTCACGCTGTTGTTCTTCAATGGAAGCTTGCAATAGAGTATTGAATATAGCATTTTTGATGGCAAAGCGTGGCTAGCTTCACAATTCTCTAATTCAACAATAATGGCAAGAGCCTGGATCATCAAAGGGGAGTTTTAGTTGCTTTAATTTCCTGTCTAATAATTGTTTAACAATTCCTAGGTCTTAGGATAGTTATTCTAATTATTAGAAAATAATTGTATTGCTTAATCTGATTATATTTGGAGATTATTGTGACTGAATTATTGCTTAGTATTTGATATTGGGCTGTTTATAGTTTTGATCTCAATTATAATGTTGTGGTTATGACATTTGTATTGATTTTGGAATTAATATATTGTGATTTTCTAAGGTGGCTTAGAATTTTGGATCATATTGTCTCTTGCTAGCTTTAGTTCTGTTATTTTGGATTTAAGAGTTCTAATTAAGCATTGGTTTTTAGTATCCTTAATCCCATTTTATTATTCTGGTTGCAGTTAGTAAGTTGGGATTTTAGGAAAATATTTTGTGGCAACTCGAGGTGGCTCGGTTGTTAGATTAAAAGCTTAATTATAATTCTTAATTCATTGTCTTAACTCCCACATCTTTTAGAGTGATGATTGCCTGCGTTGTTGAATTGGAGGATTGATTTTTATCAGTGTTATTTGTGTGTTTCGTTTTCATTTCTTTTATCTTCATTTATTTCAATCATTTTCATATAAAAAAAAAGGGTATTTTAATTTCAATTTAATTCAAGGCATTTAATTAGCAATTTTTCAAAATCAAAAATTCCTTTTATAGTTTAGGTTACTTGCAATTATTTACTAGGGTTTAATTTCGTTTTCGGCTCCTCAAAGTGAAACGACCCGAGTTTTGCACTATATTGCATTAATTCGGTTAATTTTTGGAGTAACCCCAAAGCGACAAATTAAGGAAAGTTCAACTTCAAGTGGCGCCGTTGCCGGGGAGCCAAAAAAAAAAAATTGATTCCCAAGTAACTAAGTATCAATCTTTGGTTGACTTGGTCCTTGAGCTTTTTAGTTTTTGCATGTAGTTAGTTTTAGCATCCTTAGGTAGTTTTTTATTGCATTGCTTTCATTTGCATCAAAATTTTTCAAAAATACAACCAAATATCTTGATTTTTTTTTTTTGCATATAGATATAGACACTTGCATGCCTTTGCATCATAATGTTGGATCTACATCCAAAATTTGGCAAAAATCTGAGTTTTCCAAAAAATTTAGTTTGCTGGAACTAAATAAATTTTTCGCCCAGAAAATTCTGAAAATTGGTATTCTAAAGGTTTTGGGTATTTTAAGCAAGACTAATAGCAACGCTATTAGCCCCAGCAAATTTTGGCCAAATTCAAACGTTTTCCCTACTTTTTCTAATTTTCTTTCTTTTCTGAAATTTTTCCATATTTTTCTGTTTTTGTGTTTTTGTGTTATTTTTCTGATTTTTCTAGCTTTTTAGGATTGTTTTGAGTTTCTTTAGATTGGCTCTTATTAGGAATTGATTGTGTGACTCATGGCTTGGTTTAATAGCAATCATGATCTACCCTCGCACTCTCACTTTTTTGCAGGAAATAGTACATGGAATGAAGCACCTTTTAATTCAACATGTTCTCAAGAGATTGAAGAGTTGTTACAACAGTTGGACTTCTTCTAAGCTTAGCTAGAGTCTCAAATGCCTAACCACATCTATACCCATGACCCTTCTTGGATGAACCATCCTCCACATCAATCACCTAACCCATCACTCCAACCTCACCAACCATACTTTAATCATATATCTCTACCATATGCACACCATCAAGAACCACCTCCTTTTCCATATGAATACTACGACCAACCCTCGTCCCAATCCAAGTACCATTCTCTCCCCCAATCTCATGAACATCAATTCAATGAACCTGACCCATTTCTTACTATTCCTAAGAAGGACCAGATACAATTTTTAAGAGAAGCTTACGACCGCTTAAATTCATACTACCATGGATTACTTGAAGAGGTAGAAATATCTGGAATTTCTAAGGAATCAGAGGAAGAGTTAGAAGAATGTCAAAGTGTATTGGGAAAGTTCTTGAGTGATATAGCGCAAATTGAATCTGGGATGGGGAAGGATGAATCAAAGTATCCAAATTCACTCATGCAAGAGACTGAGATGAAGCAAGAACATCCACAAACTCACAAGGACTCGTGCCTTACATCAGGTAATATTGCTCCTCTTCTTGAGGAGATTGACCCTTGTGCTATAACTACTATTCCTGTTGAAGCTTTTGATAATATGAGTGATATTGAGGTGGATGAAGAAATTGTCTGTGAATCCCCTCATGTTTTTGAACATGCTAATACTCATCTTATTGCTCTTAGTGGTAGTGATTTGGATGAAGATGCTGTTTTGTGTGATGATTCACATGCCAACCATGTTTCTCTTCCTAGTGTTGAAAGTGTTGTTATTGCTAAGTATGAGAACATTAAGGTTGCTAAATCTTGTTTGAGTGCAATTATTGATGACAAATGTGAGAATGATCATTGCCTTGAGAACCAATTGCATGATAATTCCTTTGAGTTAGTAGCTTCTAGTGTTGTTGAGAAAGACTCTAAAATTTTGATTGACAAAATTAAGCATGTAGATGAGTCTTTCCAACAAGTTTTGTCTTGTGATTTGCCTCCTGATTTAGTTAGCTGTGTCAATAGTAGCAATTTGCATGAATCTTCTTCTGCTTCCATCCTTTTACCTCCCACCTCTTGTGAATGTGATAGTGATGTGCTGTACTCCAATAACTGTCAGTTAGATTCTTCAGTTTCCACGTCACATGAACCTAAGTGTTTTGAAACTTTAAATGATTGTTTGACTCCTACTGATGGGAGTATCATTGACTTTCTTGGATGCTGTAGCTATTTGAAGAGTCTAGATCATGAAATGTCTTTACTTTATTTGAAATCACTCGAAGTCTATATTGTTGGATTTGGTACTGCTACTAGCTTGTTTTCTGTGCAGGCACATAATTGGAAGGGATCTCCTCAACACCAAACTCCACCATATGCTCTTGGACCTCTTTCAATTGACCCTGAGCCACCACCAAGAAAGTGCAATCATCAAGAGCAATCCTTTTTGCTAAGTTTCATGTTTCTCATTATTGATGAGAATTTCTCTTTTAAGAGTCTAAGGCGCTTTAAGCACAAGGTTGTCTCTTTCCTCACTTATTTTCTCTTAACTTTGCATTGATTAACTGTGCTTAACTGAATTATTGAAGAGGATAAGTGTGGGGGAGCTATTCTAGTAGAAAAGTAACCTTGTTTTTGTTTACTCCCTTATTGATCCTCTTTTTCTCTTGTCATTACCTTGTCCTTGGATTTTGCATTGAGGACAATGCAAAATTTAAGTGTGGGGGAGAGATTGTTGTTAAGTTGTTGAGCTGTTTTTGAAAAAAAAAAATTCCCTTTGGATTTGCTTCTGTTTCATAAGTATTGCTGCTATAATTGCTCTCTTCTCTGCCTTATTGGTTGATTTCTGAATTGCATCGCATGATTTGAGAGTGATTCTTGCTTGGGAATTTTGCTGCTAGTTTCTGTGTCCTCCTATTTTCATTCGCCTCAGTGTTCTGCACTGTTGTATGGGCGAGTTGCTGTTTTCTCTGGTGCTGACTTGACTTTTGTAATCCTTGGGCATCTCTTTTAAAATCTTTTTGAACAATGCTTACGAATATTGCACGGCTAAGTTTGATTGCATTTGATTTGAGTGATTTCTGTTCTTAGTTAATTAATATAGTAGAATGCCTTTAGTGCAGTGTTATTAACCTTGTTTCATAGCTTGATCCTTAAGGAGGAAACATCTTGGAGAAAGCCTTGATGGAAGGATTTTTGAGCCATGTATTCTTTCTCATCTTATGTGATTTTCACCTAGTTTTGGTTAACCTCTAGAACTTGTCTAGATTCTCTTTCAAAGTTGCATTAATACCTAGATTTGTGAAGATGATAGGGGCATTCATTTCTAGACCTTTACCCAAACACAAACCACTTCATTTAACCTTTGTTCACCCCTTTGAGCCTTCACTTTCATTCCATTCATTTTTTTTTGGCAAGTGTTTTGCATGAGTTACATTTGGTTTTTCATTTTGAAAAGTACATCATTAATGTCTATATCTTTGCCTTCTTGGGTTTGGATGCCAAAGAAAAAGCAAAAAAAAAAAGCAAAAAAAAAAAGAAGAGAAAAAAAAAAGAAATAGAAAAAGGCAAGAAAGAGAAGAAAATGTTTAGAAAAAGCCAAAAAAAAAGAAAGTTATAAAAAAAAAAGGAGAGAAAATAAGTTGCAACAAAAGAATAAATTTGAAATAAGGCATTCCATGGTGG